TGCATGAGAAATCTGGCACGTGACGAAATTCCTGTCACAAAGTTTCATCTTTAGCAGATGTCTTTGAAATTTTGCCCACTGGATTACCCACTATGCTGCTCACGATATCAACTGCCCAGTAAGGTCCCATAGGATACAGGTGACGACGACAAGTCAAAACCGTAAATCTTCTGGTTGTGGGCCTTACAACATAGTTATCACTAATATCATATCCAATCCAATCAGTTTTCTGTGAAGATTCGGTAGGTAATTTATAACCACACTGGCACATACAAAATTGTCTAGAAACTGTCATACGTTAGTCAAAAAAACCGTTTCGATTAGTTTCAGTATGTATGAGCTTGCAAAAGCTTTTTTGTTGTTTACTAGGTTGTTCCGAAAGTTTTTTTCGTTTTTCTGTACAGCCTGATCTCAACGGAATATCATAGTCCCGTGATTATTCAAAAGCATGTAAAATGCTTTGGTAAAGGTATCTATCTTGACAGGGAACAACCCAGATGTTGAAAATGGAGCTGTCAAATATTATACTTGCAATTTATATATTAATGATAGATACTACCTGAGAAACGTCGAGGATGTAACGGATAAAACAGAGTAAATGAGAGCACTAAACGATGATCCGCATTGCTTGGCTTTTGTCATTTCTCAGAGATCAGGTACCCACTAAAGAACTGGTCGTTTTACGCACAAACACATTGGCAGACCACCTTTTGGAAAGATGCCATAGTGAGAGCACTTCCCTGAGTACATGGTCAGTGGCTAACACGAACATGAACGCTTAAAATAGCTCTCTTTTTCGGGGGTCATTGGGCGCCTAATAAGTAGCACGGAGTTGACGTTTTTGGAGAAAGAAAAACTTTGTAAAGGTTTAGAACTAGACCTCGAGAATTTGCTGTAACAAGCAAAGAACCCATGTATTCCAAACTTAGTTTTATACAGAATTTGCAGAATGTGTGTTACTTTGTAAGGAATGAACATTAGGTGAAAGTTTTTTGGTGAGAAATCTAATTCAAAAATTGCTAAAGGTATGGGATCGAATATATGATTGCAAGATAGCGAAAGATATTTAGTATCAAGCAAAATTTGATTAGCTATGATTGCCACGCCTTGTGACCGATCAAAATCAAACGATAATTTGAAACGTAGTCAAGAAGGAAAGTATTTTTGGCTCATAGTAGGCTTCAAGATAGTGAATGCTAATCCAGGACATCGCATCACTTACTTTCTTCTGTCTCAAAGTAAAAGATAATGTATCTTGAGCTAAAAGATGTCTACTGTGAGCCTGGAATGGAGGAATGTGGTTTGACGAGACATTCTTACTCTTCAAATACTTTGGGTGTACCTCTTGAAAAAAGTTGATGGATTAATGTTATATGGACTAGATCTAATCTTAGCTCTACTAACTGACCTAACACTAGGCTCAGAGGATATGAGCTTAGTGTCGGATAGGTTAGTCTTGCTCAGTGAGAACAATGCACGAGACTTTTTAAATAAATGCTTTATATAATTCCTGAATGCGTCAGCATTATTGACTTTTCGGAGAACACAAAAAGGGTAGACAATTCTCTTGCGCTATATGCCAGAGCAGTATCGTACTCTTTGTAGTAGCCAAGTCTTCTCTAATTGCCTGCTAATAATCTACTTGATGGCGGCAACTGAGTTTGGAGAATCTTATAGGCAATTTTCAAAGCTCCATAATAATTGTTCATTGATACCCAAAACAAGACTGCAATATCAACGATATAACAGTGGCCGTCGAAACTATTAGCATCATCAAAGGCCTCTATCGAGATAACAGACGATGGATCATTCGAAGTAGCATTCCAGAACTTGCGTAATTTATAGCTCGGAACGCTGATTTCTAATATGTCTTTCAGATAGGCGAAACGTTTTTTCCTTTTGGATGTCATTACAAACTTTCTTCATTTTCAAAGAATGCTTATTAGACGTGAGATAGATACTCAAAAATTCAACTTGGACACAAAAGCAGGGATGCAACTGAATATTGATGCAGTAAGCTTTTATTAAGCAATAATTCCTTTTTTTTTGTTTTTGTTTTTTTTTTTGACAAAAACCGGGAAGTTGAGATTCCACGAAAGTACTACCAGGTTGTCCAAGCTACTTTCGATTTTTAAAAAATTCCATAATTTCTTCCAACGAACGCTTCGCAGAAAAGAAAGACAGATTTGAAAAAGTTTCGAGCTGTATCTACAATTTTTTATCCAAAAAAATCGCCTTTACGACTAAGCATCCTTCATTTGTGTTCTTTATGTTTTGGAGCGCTCGGCGGAGCACACTGCTAGGAGTCAGATACCAGAAATCATTTTGGGTACTCACACTTCCATGAATGCCCAGTTCGGAGTGATTCGTCTAGCCATCGTTATCGCCTCAGCGAGAATCCGATAAACTAAGTTCGACAAAAATCTGGTATTTAACCACTAAGGCGTCAATACTTGGTGCATTTGAAATTGTCGCACTGCTGAATGATATCAGCTCTGTAAGCTGATAGTGGAATACTACCACAATTTTAAAATATTACGCTTTATTGTTTTGATTTTTTGTAATGATCAAATTTGCTTCCGTAAGGCTACAGCGGAGAATTGCCAGATTTATCTAAAATGACTAGCACTCCTAATTATTTCCTTCTGAAACATGAGCAATTCCCCGGGATCTTGTGCATCCTCCAAAGTGACTGGTTTTTCTTCAGTATAGTGCGGCCTTACTATGATATCTATTTGTGGAGTTGCCTAAAGCGCCTCCGAGATACAGACATTAATCAATACAACCAATCGAGTCAAACTTAAACTTTTAGTCAGCATAAGAGCTAAAGTATCGTCTCTCGCTCGCCTTGGTTTCTAGTCTCTTTATAGCTACGAACAATTTCAAATTAACAAATAGTATTTCCTGCTTCAGCACTCATGTATCAGTTCACATAGTAGTGCTTCCTACAAATTCCACTCAAAAGTTCACTTAGGAATTCGGAACTAAACCGCATCCAAATGCACCTAATTAAAGTCGTTTGAAGCCAGAAGCAGTCGTGCGCTCAGCATTCGCGCATATGAAACCTTCCTTGCCAAGTATGGATGAAATCTAACAAAAAATAACGTAGCCGTTTGTCCAACTTGTTGATAAGCCACTTTTTAATATTCGGAATTCTGGATTGTTTGAAGAACAGGATTATTGTAAAATAATACAGGAGAAAGCAGCCGAT